AGCGGATGCTTCGGATTATGCGGTAGGAGCGGTACTTTCGCAAAATCAGCAGCCCGTGGCATTTTTTAGCCGAACTTTAAATCAAACACAAAGAAACTATTCCGCGACCGAGAGAGAGGCACTTGCAGTTCTGTTAGCAGTGCAAAAGTTCCGAGTCTATTTTGGAAAGGCGCCGATAACAGTATATTCTGATCATGCGGCGGTAACTAGATTGTACTCAGGGAAAAAATTTATCCCCAAGGTTAATAAGATGGGCACTCAAGCTGCAAGAATATAATCTGGTAATCAAGCATACCCCCGGAAAGGAAAATATCGTAGCAGATGCCCTATCACGAATTAAATTAGACGAACAGGGTAATACCGTAAAAGTTGCAATGCTGACAGCGTGTACAATAAATTCCCGAGAAACTGTAATAACCGAACTGGGTAAGGATCCTGAGTTTGGAAGTATTTATGAGTATTTGAAGGATCCTGAAAATTTTAGCCACCAAGATATTGTGGCGATAAGAAATAGGGCGGCCCATTACGAACTAATAGATGGTCTATTATTTTATACAAAAACTACGAATTCCAACAACGAATTTCGACCTGTTATCCCAGCTAGTCTTAGATTAAATATCCTGCAAGAGCTCCATGACAGCCCTTTAGCTTCTCATGCTGGTATTCGAAAAACTACTCAACGCGTACGCGAGGCAGTCTACTTTCCTGAACTGCAAAAGTTAACAAGGGCGTATGTCCAGTCCTGCCCAACATGTCAAGCCGTTAATTATATTAATTTCCGCCCGGCCGGGTTTCTAAATAGTATTAAATCCGAATTTCCAAATGAAATAATCGGCATCGATTTATTGGGCCCTTTCCCAAAAAGTCAGTTAAACAAAAGTCGCTATCTCCTTGTTATGGTTGATCATTTTAGTAAATGGACCGAAATTGTTCCCTTAAAACGAGCCTCCGCGAAATTAGTTACCGATTCTATTTTAAATAAATATATTTTAAAATACGGGGCGCCCCTAAAAGTTATATCGGATAATGGTCCTCAATTTGTAAGTAATATATTTGAAGACATGTGCCAAAAACTGGGCATACGTCATTTAAAAATGGTCCCGTATCGGCCGCAATCAAATATAGCGGAACGGGTCAACAGAAATATAGTGAAAATTATCCGTAGTTATGTTAAAAATTTTCATAAAAGCTGGGATAACTATGTCAATGAATTTGCTTTCGCCCTTAGGACCGCAAAACATGATACAACGGGCAAAACTCCTGCTGAGTTATTTCTAGGCAGAAAGATTATAACACCGTTAGATAAACTATTTTATGTGCAACAAAGAGCCCCAGAATTTAAAATGGGTGATATAGAAAAACTAATAAAAGAAGCAAAAAAGAATACGGAAGTAGCACAAAGAAAACAAAATTGTATTATGACTTGAAACGACGGGGAGTAACTTATAAAGTAGGGGATGAAGTACTAAAAATTAAGCATTCACTTTCTTCAGCACCAGAAGATAAAACTGCCAAATTTTTTCCACGCTTTGAAGGACCATATGTTATAGAAAAAATAACTCACGCTGTTGTAGTGTTAAAGGCAAGAAATGGTGAAACCTGTTCCGCAAACATTGATCAAATAAAACCCATTCTATCGATCGTAATAAAATGCAAATCTTTTCAGATCTTTTGCAGGATCCGGTACGGCAGACACCGCAGGTACAAGTTCCAGAGGTGGGAAAACGACAAGTACAAGGGCAAGCCAATGAGAGACAGAAGCAAGTGAAAAGAAAATTGCCCCGCGGAAAAATTGAAGGTACAAAGAAAAAGAAGCCGTTCCACCGTCCAAAAACAGAGTTCACGAACACCCCCAGAATGAAGAAGGGAGAAGGACGACGTATGTGGAAAAGACCGGGAGAAAGGACGGCAACTATAACCCGGCTGTGAAACGGAAGATTGACTCATCCGACAGAACTCTCCGCAGCAAAAGTCGCCGAACTGCGGAAGGGCCATCAGCGGCGGAGGAAAAAGTACAAGAAAAATTTGAACGGCCAACAACGAGGTCCAAGCAGGATCACGACAGAAGTTTCCCGGTTCCACCAAGACCAGCTGCCTTCAAACGGCCAAGACCACAAGCAGAGGACAGAAGGAAGATGTTCAAGGGTGGCCGTAGTGGTGAAAAACGGAAGCTTCCAGAGGAAAGCACTGAAGGGCGAGCCCGTACAAGAAGGAGGATCAACCAAGCTACGGTCTGCAGCTACCTTTAAAGACTGGGCCCAGAAAAGGATGTCCTGAATATTACAAAGATAAGTAAAATTTTATGTTACTTTACAAACTTAAGTTAATCTTTCATTCTTACTGCAAGTGGCAGATTTCAAGAAGTTTTACCTCATGCGAGGTCTACCTTTATCGCCAAAAGGGCGAGAAATGAGTTGTGACCGATTTTTCTTATTATGTTTTTCAATTACTCGCGCGTAAAACTAAAGTTGATGTATAATAGCGTTGTATAAAGACTTAAATATTGTAAAAAGTTATTGTATAAATTTTATTTAAAACATTCTAACAAGAAAGAAGTTTTAGTCTGAAAGACTTTTTGAAATGTAGTATTATTTCAATGTAGAAAGAATTGGCACTTGCTTTGAAAAGAATAGAAGTTAACAATGTACTACTAATGTATGTTTTCAAATGTGTAAAATTAACGGCATGTTGATATGTTCTTGTATACATGTGAACTGTTATTTTGAATGTTTAGAAATACCGTGATATGGTAAAAGTGAAAGTAATGTTAAAAAAATTTGTTATTCGTGTGACTGTAAAGATTAAATCATGGTGAATATGTGTTAAAGGTTGAATGATGTAGTTAGGCTCTCTGACGCTACACTTTAGAGTTAGCCACTTTCAGAATAGTACCTCAGGGTTCTAGAGTTGAAATTAGGGTGTGTTAAGAGGTCTCGTATGTTGAATTTTAACACGTTAGTGTTTTGATTGTAGGAGGAAGTGTTGAACACATAGACAGAAACACATTCGTGTTTGGTGTTTTTACAACACATGTCAGAGAGCACGGGGAGAGATAATTAAAATAGTCATGAATGAAATAAGAATGTTAAGAAAGTATATTCTATATGTTATTTGCAATGTCATTCTGTAACATTTCATTAAACTAGTTTTCCTTCCAGATCTCTGGAAGGAACCAGAATTGAATAAAGCTCCTGTTTTTGATGCAGTACAGATGAAAAAGAAAAAAGATTGTTGTATATTCCGGGAGCTGCTATTGTAACAAATTTCTTTCTTTTAAAATTTTCTAGTTTCTAGCTAAGTTATGTTTGTAAAAGGTTTGGCCTCGCGTTAGTTTCTAGAGCTAAAAGTTTTCAACAAGGTCGTTTTAGACCTCAGTTTCAAACTAATTAACTCTGGCGGGAAGTATGTAAGGATCTTAAGTTTTTTACTAACGTTTATTTTATTTTAAATCTTTACTATCACTTCTTATTTTCTACTTCCGGCCAGAATTATAAGCGTGAAGGAGTTTTATGCAAAGTTTGTCTGGCGAACGCCAAGTATTTAAGTGTGGCCTTTTTGCCAAGCAGAGAGAGAGGAAGCAGTGTGAGTTCGAAGCAGGCCGCTTACCTTAGAAGTTACGCAGTTGCTTTGCCTTCCAGGCCAGAGGTTTTAATCCTCTTGATAAATTTTAAACGTATTGTAGTGTTCACAGTCTCTGTGCTACATACGCTTCCTGTTATTATAAGGCCAATCTTATTCTAAAGTTAAATTAGAGTTTAGTTTTATTTTGATATCTTTTAAGTTAGACCCCGAGTGGAGGGTCATTGTATTCCGAAGTACGGAAGTCATTGTATATAAAGAAAAAAATAAAGGGTTTTGTATACCCTTCGTCTGTATCCTGTCTACTTACTACAATTAGTGAACATAGCTTTAGTAAGCTCTCTGTTCTAGTCAGGTCATTGTATGTTTCCGAAGAAGGTTAGAAGAAACATTGAACCTGATATTAAAGGTAGAAAAAAAAATGTGTGGCTGAGCATTCATGACATGTCTAACGAGGTTACACCTTCTATTTTATTTAAAAATGTAAGCTTTCTGGTTGCTACTATTCTCACTGTTAAAGTGTTTGCTTAGAATTGAATAATTTGTGTCAATTTCCCCCCCATATTCTGGCACGTTTATTCACACAGTTTTTACATACTTTTAAGACGCAAAAATAACAACTCGGTATTTGAAAACTCTGGAAATATTAAAATGGTTAAGTTCATGATTCTTTATTTTTTTTTTTTTTTTTTTTTTAAAGATAAGGATGGCGAAGATTCGTGAAGCAATTTAAAATGGAATCCTAAGTTTCGAAATTTTGTTTTGGAAAACAAATAAGGTGTTAGTTTTATATATTTAAAATTTGGATTTTTGAGATTCCTGTGAAACTTAAAATGCTTAAACAACAAAAACCTTATTGTGCGGCTCCAAACCCTTTCTTTTTCATGCCACCCATAGGCAATGATTAGAATCTGCGTCTTTCAACAATCTGCTGCAGAAAAAAACTATGAAAGCATATCAGAAAATGAAGAAAGAATCCCCATGAGCAATAATTTTGGCGGTCGAAAATTGAAAATCATAAATTTTATTCCGAAAACAAATTGCTGTTTCCTTCTCCTTAATTTATCACATATGTTCGCTTTACAAAATTTTAGAGATTTGTGACGTCTCATTGATGGAAAACGCAGATATGGTATGTACGTCTGCGTACGTTCGATCGGCAACTACCATTCATTTTCTCGTAGATAAACTGGCATATGACCCGCAATATTTATGATATATTCTCGAAATATTTTGCAGATGACATATGCTGAAGCAACCCGAATATGGCAGCTACCAAATACTTCCTAAATCATTCCTTTCCAGTCTCATAACCTTTCAAAACCATTATACATCAAATTATAGCCAGGCATGCAGTTTAGTATATATAATTTCTATAACAGGTGTAAGGATTCGATTACAAAAGCTGCTACTTTTCTTACCTGTGGTGATTCGTCTTCATTTAGAATACGACTAAGATGAGAGATATAGGTTGTGGCTAAGATGAGAACATCCAGCTTGGAAAGTTTTGTATTGGGTGGTACAGATGGTAAGCATTTCTGGAGGCTATGAAACGCATTTCTCAGACTTTTCACTCTATATCTTTCTCTAGCTGCATTGCGTGACATACCGTTTGGATTCTTTCCTAAAATGTAAGAAAAGATTCACTTAATTTTTAAACTCTTTTAAAGGGCATATGGAACATAAAATGGTTCAAAATTTTCGGATTTCCAATTACAGTCTTAAAGAATAGAGCAGACTCGGATGATTTCATAAATAGATATTTTGCACAGGTTTGGAATACCAGGTCCTAAAATACGGTACTTAAAAATGTTAACAAACAGTGCCAACACCCCTCGCATTCGACGTTTTTCAGCATTCGTGCTTACTGGAAAAGAGCAAATCCTCTTTTTATTTTACCCTATGGTTTATTCCTTTTCTTTCTAGAGTAGCCAAATTACTTTTTTCGATACATTTTCCCATTTTTCTGATAGTAAACTTTTGTGCAAAGGCACACATGGCAGAATTCAGATTCCAAATGAGGGTTTCTAACCATTGTTTATAGGAACGCTTGAAGAGACATTAGGTTTTTTTTTGGGGGGGGAAGCAGGAATCACGAAAAATGAGCAACGCCTTCACCGGGAATCGAACCACGGAGCTCTGGAATACACGCCCAGCGTACAGACCACCACACCACGAAATCATGGCAAGAAGGCGGGAGAAATACCTTATGTACTCCTTCTTTTAAAGGGCGACTGGTGTTTTTAGGGAACCCAATCGCCAAATCCTGGGTGTGGAGAATCATCATCCACCGCCCTTTTAGTTCGGGCGCCACTGTAGAGACATTAGGTCTTTTTTTGGAAGCAGGAGTTGTAAAAAAGGAGCAACGCCTCCGTCGGGAATCGAACCATGGACCTCTGGAATACGCGCCCAGCGTGCAGACCACCACACCACGAAGGCATGCCAAGAAGGCGGGAGAAATACCTTTATACACTTACCTAAAACTGTTTTTGTCTCAATAACTACTTTGATAATATATGTTTTAGATGCTGTCATTTGTTTTAACGATGGGGCTTAGAACCGCACAAACGTTCTAAAATATTTGGGGCTTGAAGCGGGCCATAATATGAAATATTCTTTGAAAAAAAATGGATGAGGCTTAAGTTCGAGAAGCATCCTTAAGTTTCTAAAATCTCTTTAAAACAGCCAGAGTCAAAATTAAAATGATCAAAGAGATAACAATTGATGTAGAAATGCTGAAACAAAATAGATGTGGTGCTGGAAGGTTTTAAAATAGTACAGTTTAAGCATTGTGGGTATGCATGCAGTTTTTTGCCTTTTTCCCAAATTGTATTTTTTTAATGTTTCGGTACATTTTTCTAAAACTTTATTTAAGGTAGAGTATTTAAACTTTCCCAAGTTGTACAATTAACTTGTTTTTCTTTAACGTTTATAGCTCTGAATGAGAAAATTTTGAAAATAATGAAAAAAAAAAAAAAAAAAAAAAATGTTCTTAAAATTTTTTGAATTTTCCAAGTTTTTTTTAACAAAATTAATTTAATTAAATATTTTTTTATCCAAATGAAAATTGCTTCTTATTATTCTCAAATAGTATATTTTCTATTACCATACCAAATTTTAAGGTGATAAACTCAATAGGTTTTTAGAAATGTGTACCAAACATACATATTGTTCATAAAATTTCATATAATCTATCTTCTATCTATAATAATAAAAGCAAGTGTAATGTGTCTGTCTGTCTGTCTGACCGAGCTCTCCAGCCAAATCTATCGCACGCAGGGACCTGGAATTTTTTATACGGAAGCACAAAGGGGCTGGCCACCAGACCTCGAAGCCCGATTTTCGATTTTTGAATTAGAAAAATTTTAAAAAAATTATTTATAATTAATTAATCACGGTTTTTTTTTTTTTTTTGACTCACTGATATTATTATTTGTTTTCAAATAACGTTCGATTGTAACAATTGATTTCTTTATTCTAGCGTTAGTTTGCTGTTTTGACGATACATTAAATCGATTAATTACAATTCATTTCTTTTTTGTAGCTTGTGGGCGGGGGGGAAGAGAGAGAGACAGTCTACATGTCCTACACTACTATTCCTGCGCTATTCACTTATCTGCATTTTCTAAATGCACGGGCAACGCCGGGCGGGTACACCTAGTTATATATAAAATAATCTTGTAAACTAATTTATGTGGCTAATTAAATTATTTTTATTCAAATATAAGCTGAAATATAAAAATTTACTGTGAAACAAAATCCCAATTATATCTGTATTTTTAAATAGAATACATGTTGGTGAATTTTTTGTAGAAACTGCTTCACTTCTCCTGTCTTTCCACCTCATTTGAATACCACGAGAGCTAGAAATTTACGTTCTGGCGGAAGAATGGAGATGAGGAGGATAGGAAATTTGATTAACATAACATAAAATATATGATTAAAGAACTAAAACGATACCTTAGAAAGTTTCGAACTGATTCCTCCAATACATTCAACATGGGTTGTGTTTGCAGAATGGCGTCACACTTTGCTCTGATTCTCTCGAATAATATCTTTCCCACTATGATATGCAGTGAAATAGGTTTCATCGCTGTAAATAAACTTCTAATAAAACTAAATAGAAAAATCATTTGCAGGTGTTGAATGCGGTGATGCCAATACTTAGCTGCAGCAGATTGGCAACAGTGTGTTCATCTTCTTCTGTAAGGTAGCGGTATGTTGAAACTCCAACTAGTAGCGAACCTGTTTTTTCTGTATTTATGTTTCTTTTACTCTTAGGAAGGGTACAGTAGAACTCCAATTATCCGAATCAGTTGGGACCGGACCCCATTCAGATAATCAAAAATTCGGATAACTGAATTTTTCCCGAAGAAAGGGTCTACATTAATTAATCGCCGTATGTTAAAAATGGGAGGCAAAAACTATTTTTATTTTATTTTTAAAGAAAAACAGGTTTCAGTTAATTAAAACGAAAAAGCAACACTTTAATGTACATGTTATGTAGCGAACTGTACAGCATTTACAAGTGCCGAAAGTCACTGCTTGCTGAACATTTCGGTCAACGTAAGCTGTTTGAATGTCTTCATTCATTTTCGGGCAGCCAAGTCTCGCATCCGCTTGACAATGAGAAGTTGCATGGGGTCCTACTCGGGCTGACGCTCCATCCACTTCAACGCCGGCAAACGCTTCACTAGCTGATCGTCCCGTGTCTGCTTCAACTTCGACATTAAGGTCATCTTCTTCCTAAACACTTTCTTCTCTCACACTGTCAATAAGTTCATTATCATTTATTATTTGGAACCCAGGTTCTGACGAATCACACACCATCCATTCTGCTGTATCCTCAACACTCACTTCTGAACATCCAGGAATTTGCAAAAGAACGTTTCTTAATTTCTCGAGTGAAACGTCATCCTCATCTTCTCCTGTCTCTTCCCTTTCCTTTTTTTGAGCTTCTTTTACCTTTTTCTCCTTTTCCTTCTCTTCTTCAGTTGATTCTGAAAAATTCTGAAAGCGATTCGGATAATCAGCGTTTCGGATAGTTCGGATTTCGGATAATTGCAGTTGTATTGCATTTTTTTCTTGCCTTTTAATGTAAAGCAGTCGAGTCGGGTTTAACGAAAGGAAATGATCGTAGTGTTTAACAAATAATTCTGCTTTTAGTTTTGCTACTACTGTTTGATTAGCAAGTAATATAAAAAAAAATAAATAAATAAAGTCAATTCCTGCTTAGGCTAACAAAGAAAAATTTTTACATTATTAACATTTAAACATTTTTTTTAAAACTTTTTAGCATTATTAACATTTTTTCGTTTCTAATTTATGAAGCTGATGGTGGTCTATAATTTCTCATTCCACCCATCTCTCGTAATGCTTCATTATTGCAAGGGACCTTTCCAGTGAGTTTCGAGCAGCCCAGTCCTTCAATAAATATTCCATCTAATGATTTCACACGACTCAAGGCGACACATGCTTGACCTGCTGCGAAGAGTTTTCGCCCTAGATATATTACTGCACTATTTACTGTGCTACAGTGGCTACAGTGCGTACTGCATAATCTACAGTGCTCCGTAGCTACTTTGCGAAGTAATGGGACATTAAATCCGCTTCATCCAACTCTATAAAACTGCAATTCTTTAATTCCATAACTCTAAAAATATTTAGAACTCTGTCTTACTGTTGCCACTTATTTTTGTTAAATATTACAATCTCATTGATGACAGTCATGTATAATCATTTATAAGTTGTTATAAAATTTATATTTTTACAGCACGCGAGAATTCCTAATAAACGGTCATTATTTGTAAGTCTTATGATATATTTAATAAAAACAGCCTATTTTTAGTTCCGATAAACAGGAATCAATAAGTTGGAATTGACTTGAATATATCATCCACTGAAAGTTAAAAAAAATGTATTTGTTTGAACTTGAGTGTATGAATAAAAACTATTTTATTAACGATTGAAAATTTGAACAAGATATAGGGAGAGTGTGAGCTAATAGTAGGAATTTAAATAAATAAAAATACATCATTTTTATTGCGAAGAAATTAAAATATTATGTTACGCATTATCAATACTGACGATACTTTTACAAAAAAATTCTAATAACTTAATTTCCTCTAAATATAATTAATTAGCTTTAATTGGAAACACTAATATAATTACATAATAATTATGCAAAAAGCGAAGACAGCGTTATAAAAAAATTGTTCGAAAAAAAAAAAGGGAACTAAGCTTTAAAACAGTTCGATAGAAAATTAAATATATAGGGCATAACATTCATTTAAAATAAAATTTGGAAGAATTTGGATTTTTCCGCTTTGGAAGTGCACGTTAAAAAGTTGTACGTTATTAAGAAAACTCAGAAACATGCTTATAAAAAAAATTCGATGACACTTTGTACAGCTAACGATGAAAAGATAAAAAGATAAAACTGTCCACTACAAGCTTAATGGGAACGATGAGGTCTCAAAATGCATGTGGAGCATTTCATTTGAAACGATTTTGATCTGAGATCCACACTAGAGTTAACAAATTCTATAAAAGGTACTCTGTTATTGCAAGGAAACGATGATCCTCTCTGTACGCCCTTTGTTCGGGAATCGAATCTCACCCAGC